AAAAGTTCACCTATTCTTTTTACCTATATCAGGATACTTGAATAATAAATTAGGTTTATGAATGGAGGATAGAAAACATAACGAACAATTTATATTCTATTTCCGATAGCTCCATGCTATACCTCTCTATATCTTGGGCACTATACTGCTGCTGCGTCTTCGAAATGGGTGATATACCCGAAGCGTAGAGTTGTCCCAGTTGTCAGCAGACCGAGAGCGGCTGATGAGACCTGATGGGTCGAAACAGTACTGTCTCGCTCCTGCTGACAATTGGGGCAACTCTGTTCATCCTAGATCTCTTAGTTATGAGATTTAGCAGTTGAATAGGTGGTGGAAAAATTCCACTCAAGTATGTCAGGTAGTGCCATCTGTCAGCAGAGTGGTTTACTTGTAGTACCACTCTGTAGCGTATAGACGTAGGGGTCTGTACGTGTGACTATAGATGGCAGCGCCATACAGTGTGTGTCACGATTTCTGTATCCTACCTTAGAGCTTTGCCACTAGATGGCTACAACATGAATAAAATATGTGGGTATTATTTTTTTAAATATTCAAGATCGAATTTCAGAAGTTAGGCTAAAATGTCAAAGAACCCTCATATTCCCGAGTCGAGAAATTATTTTTTGACAGAAAAAAATTATCTGCAGTGCAGAGAGAATTTGGAAATATTCAATCAAACTTCAAAGTAAATATCTTAGTACAATTACTTCACTTCTTTGGGGTGATTAAATTATTGTACATTCAAAAAGATCAAGTGCCTTTGAGTCCAGATCTAAAACTTCCACGCCAATGGATAGAAAGTGGTTAGAATATAAAATTTTGATTGCGTAACTTGATTACTTCAAAAAAGATACTCTTGATAAAATTCGATTACTCTCATGGTTTCCACACAATTTCGATTTAAGTATGTCTTAGTATCTTCAGTCAACATTGAAAAAATGGATATATGCCAATTTACCTCAGTACAGGGTGGGCCAAATTCGATGGGATTTGGGGGTTTCTCTGAAACTATCAGTGCTAAACAAAAACCGACCACGGTGTCCTGAGCTTGATTTTCGTGAAAAAAACAATGGCGCAAACCGCGATTGTCTATCTTTTTTGGCTGCCGAACTACAGAGCGTTTTTGAGATTTCACCTTTTATTGGTGACGTCATTATCTCGATCACCGTGAGTCCTGTCAAAAAATGAATAACACATTCTCATAGCAATCTTTTGAGTTGAATTGATTACTGATAAGAGCAAAATTATTCATCGAACAGTTTTCGAGATATGAACCTAATTTAATTTTTTTAAATAAGACACCCTGTAAATTATTTCACCATTCGATCATAATTTCAATTACCTCTCGAACGATATATCATATGCTATAGTTACTTTGAGAACAAGTGGTTGTTTTTCGAAAAATCTGATATGAGTCCATGAAAAACTGAAGAAAAATATAATTACTAACTAGCTCTATCAAATTCACAAATATTCACGTTTATTTGATAATTATCATTCAAAACTGTGAGAAAGTTCGAAATATTTAGTTCAACTGAGGTGCGAATTGTTTCCTATTGTCGTCTTCCAATTGCATTTCATTATGTTCCTTATACTTCTCAAGAAGGCCATGGAGAAATGACAATCATAATCCATTAATTATTATTGTCAACTGTGACGCTTATTCACAAAAAATGGTTCAATTTAGTAATGAAGAGAAATATGATATGCTCAAGTGTTTTATCGAAAGTGGAGAAGATGAAAACTTAGCTTCTGAACTTTATTTCAATAGGTAAGTGATAGAATAATCGACAGTGAAACGGTTGTCCAAAATTAACAGTCAAATCATCTTATAGATACCCAGAGAAAATACAACCAAACCCAAAAATATTCAAAAGGTTACAGTCAAATTTGAAAAATTTTGGATCTTTTGTCAAACCTCGCCCAAAAATTTATTATAAACCAGAAAGAGAAGCTGCACAAAATATAATAGTAGAAACTGTCAGAGATAATCCTAATATATCATCCCGCGAAATAGAAGAAAATTTAGGGATGCCAAAAACAACTGTGTTACGTTGCCTACGGAAGAATAAATTCAAACCGTACCGAATTAGAATCACCCACCACTTGTTCCCAAACGATTTTCAAAGACGTTTAGATTTTTGCCACTGGTTTTTACACAAGTGCAATGAATCGCCAGGTTTTGAAGGAACTGTCATATGGACGGACGAGACCCATATAAGCAGTGCCGGAATCTTCAATAGACATAATAACCATCATTGGGCTCAAGAAAATCCCTATGCTACTGCTACGGTCAATCGTCAAGGACGATTTGGATTTGGTGTATGGTGCGGTTTAATGGGACACCAAGTAATAGGCCCATATTTTTACCGCGGTAACTTGAATTCCGAAACATAATATATTCAAATTCTACGACGAGAAGTTGAAACATATATAGATAATTTGCCTGTGAGACAATTCCAAAGAATATATTTTCAACATGATGGGGCGCCAAGCCCATACATCATGTGATACTAGGAATTATTTGAATGTTCAATTTGGAGAAAATTGGATAGGTATGTTACTCAGAACTATTGTAAAACGCATATATATAATATATCGATCATGATAGCATTGAAAGTTTCTTCTAAATTATTTAATGCACCAAAGTAGACGTTAGAATAATTAGCTCATTCAAATATTATTTTATTTGTAGGAAACAATGGTCCTATTTTGTGGCCAGCAAGATCTCCTGATATCACCCCTTGCGATTTCTGGCTTTGGGGTCATTTGCAGAATATGATATATAGAGAACCATCTAATAACATCGAGGAATTGGAAAACAGAACGTTAGCTGCGTTTCGAAAAATAACTCCTATAATGATAAGAAATGCCACGAATGCTGTCAAAAGGAGATGTCAGAAGTGCATAGATGTCAATGGAAGACAATTTGAAAATTTATTTTAATGATTCTTTTCAAGTTTTTTTTCATATTCTTATATTAACTTACTTGATAAAATTATTATCGATCTACTCCCTGAATATAAAGATTTTCGAAAAACAACCACTTGTTCTCAAAGTAACTATAGCATATGATATATCGTTCGAGAGGTAATTGAAATTATGATCGAATGGTGAAATAATTTACAGGGTGTCCCATTTAAAAAAATTAAATTAGGTTCATATCTCGAAAACTGTTCAATGAATAATTTTGCTGTTATCAGTAATCAATTCAACTCAAAAGATTGCTATAAGAAAGTGTTATTCATTTTTTGACAGGACTCACGATGATCGAGATAATGACGTCACCAATAAAAGGTAAAATCTCAAAAACGCTCTGTAATTCGGCAGCCAAAAAAGATAGACAATCGCGGTTTGCGCCATTGTTTTTTTCACGAAAATCGAGTTTGTAACGTCATCCGCGTAGTTGTGGTGACGTCATCGATTATTTTTTTCAATGGAAACATCCCCTTTTCATTCTTCTTTTTGAAAGGTATATTCATTGTCTATCCAACCATATACTGATATTAGCAAAATAAAGTAATACAGGATGAGAAAAAATTATTAATTGTTTTATATTTACAACGGAAACTATCACAATAAATGAAAAATTCGACCTGTATACATCAGAAACAATGTATATCGTCTATCACATTGTATCATTGCAGAAGTTCACCAATTCGAACATTTATTGTAACGGTTTCCGTTGTAAATATAAAATTTTTTTTCTCACCCTGTATTACTTTATTTTACTTATATCAGTATATGGTTGGATAGACAATGAATATACCTTCCGAAATAATGAATAAAAAGGGGATGTTTCCATTTAAAAAAATAATCGATGACGTCACCACAACTACACGGATGACGTTACAAACTCCGTATGTATGAGGTGTCAATTTGAAAATTGAAATCGACCTGTCTCAGGATTTTCCTTCAAATGCATATGCGTTAGAGATAATGAATTTATTCCATAAAAAAACAACAACAAGAAATAGCTAATAGCACATTCTGATTCTTTTCGTCGTACAAATCTTTGTTCACGTGGAAATTATGAACATTTTCTACAAGTTTTATGAAAAATTTGTTGACTGATGCTCTGAATTATTGAAATTCAAATTCTGTCGAAACCATGAGAATAATCAAATTTGATCAAAATTACCTTTTTTGTTGTTAACAAGTTACACGATCCAAATTTCAAACTGAAACCCCTTTCTTTCTATTGGTGTAGAAGTTTCAGATGTTTATTTACTGAAAAAATGGAATGACATTCATCACCAAATTTGAGTAAAATCGCATGAGCCGTTTCAAGGTTTTGAATCAAACACGATTTAAAAATCGTTACTTCAGAGCTATCTATTGTCCAGACTAAACAATTTTGTACTGAGGTAAGTTTGCTTGTGTGGAATTGTTCAGGTCTGAGGAATACATAGTAAGTTTCTAAAAATTGTTCTAAAATTGTTCTATCCGTCATTCGGTTGCCCCCTTACGATGAACCCTCAGAAGTCTTCGAGAGTCTTGTGCGAGCAAAGAATGACGGGGGCCTTACCTTTTAACGTGTGATCCCAAACACTTTCTTGGGCCATCAGAAGAATTTCTGCAGTCGACGGGACTCGAACCCACGACCGGCAAGCGAATGCGGATTAGAATATGGACACTCTGTCCGCACGGCTACCTGGCCCCACATCTGGAAAGAACTTTTAGGGACACCTAGTAGAATCACAAAGAGAGACACTCAAAGTCATTACCACAATAGTTCATAAAATGAACGAAAATGGTAGATGATGAGAGAAAAACAACTACTTTCCTGGCTATACGCCAGTTGTTTTTTCTCGTCATCGCCCATTTTCGTTCATTTTATGAACTATTGTGTGAGTTTCTCTCTTTGTGAACATTGCATTCCACTTTGAGTATTTTTTTTTCCTTGTTGACCCTCTAGAATATTTGGTGTTGAAATCAATATAGTCTGTGATTCGAAATAAGTTTGTCGATGATTAATTGGTAGTATTATTTCTTTCCAGAGTCCCCGATTTTCGGACTCGGATACTTCGGATAGTCAGAGTGACAGCGAAGTGCCCTCATCTCTAACACCTACCTCGAAAGGGTTGCTCAACAACAACCACCACCATCATCACAGGTAAATTCTAAATTATTCACATCTCTGAATAGTGTTCAATATCCCATAGATGAAAACCCAAAGTCATCTCCACAACATTTATCAGAATGTGTGAAGAAGTCCATATTGCTCAAAGAGTTTGAAGAAAGAATAAATCTCAAAATCATCTCCACGACATTTAATAGGTGAACAAAGTTATGTTCACAATGGGGACATGTTTCGAGCTAAATAAATATATAAAAGTGAAGACAATTTCAGTTTTTCTTTTTACAAAAAGCCCACACACGCAGACACAGTCATACCATTCTCTTCTTGTCACCCTTATTCTCATAAAGTTGCTGCATTCAAGTATTTGTTTCATAGGCTTTGCAAATTACCACTCAATGAAGAAAATTTCCATGCAGAACTCAATATAATAAAGCAAATAGGCCACAACAATGGTTTCCCTTCACATCTCATCAACCGTATCTACAATAGACATCTTTCAGAACCAAGCAACCACAGCTTACTACCCATTAACAATTATTCTAGAAACCGTTTCTCGTCTATTTCATATTCAGTATCCCATGATATTGCCAACATATTTCAAAGATTCATTAATGACATTATTATTTCCTTTTATACCACAGACACCACATCTAGAACTTTTTTTTTTCAATTGCATTCCCTCGTTGGACCCAGCACTGGATCCAACGCCCCATAAGTCGGAACTTGTTCGGGGTTAGGAAAGCATACATTTACAAACATCCATAGCCTAACTGGGATTCGAACCCATGCCTCGGTGGGAGTCCCCTTACGAACTCAGCGCCTTCGCGCTCTCGACCACCGGGCCGTCAACACCAAAGATAAAATCCCAACTGTACACAAATCAGGAGTATACAAAGTCACTTGTTTGGAACCCAATTGCAGTGCTCAATATATCGGTCAAAGTGGCAGAACAATTATTACTAGAGTAACTGAGCACAAAAAACTTATTGAGAAATCAAGAATTCGCACCTAGATGAATATAACACAAACAACTCCTTTGCTAATCATGTTTTGAATTCCCAACACAGTTTTAATATTGAAGGAAATTTGGAAGTTTTACACGTTTGTCACGAAGGACGTTCACTAAATTTACCAGAGATCTTCGAGATCAACTCCTCATTGAAGGATGATAATTCCATTTCGGTTAACGAACAGGTAAACTTTGACTACATAACATTTTTCAATTCACTACAATTTGTTTGAGATTCAGATCCTTCCTTCTCCCCTGTTCCTCATATGTAATCTGTTCACTGAACCAGTTTTGATCTTATCCCATGTCTGTTTGAAAAATACACTCAGTTCCAAAAAAAGTGACGCATTTGATATTTGACCTATCTTCTTGAAAAAAAAACAAAAAATAGTAGGTAGGATTTTAATTTTTTTTCATTTGTAATGCATTTGTCTTCAAAAAAAAATAAAGAGGTGAACATTTTTTCAAAGCCTCCTTGATGGTGGTGGAATAACTCGAACCATGATTTATTCTTAATTTTTGACTCACCCTGTGTGTTAATTGAGTAATGGTATACAAAGTGCTTACACCCTATACGAAAGAGGCTCCTTTTGCGAGCATTTTGTTTTTTTATTCATTGATTTATCTCTAAAATTTTCTGAATTACAGTTTTTTTTTGTCGAATCCTGGCAGATTACCAACTTTCTGAATTTATCGAGAAACAATTTTCTAATAATGCTGATACCAATAATTTAAAAAAACATTTTTATCAAACACAAAATTATAAATTGGGATGACTGCTTAATACCGTGTATTGCCTCCTCTAGCAACTCGAAGAACTTCTAATCTACGAGGCACACTGGAAATTAACAGTTTTGTTTAACAAGCTGAATTTCGACGGTTTATTTGAATTTGGATTTGGAACGATCACATTTTTGTCAAGCTCATCTCTTTAAAAACTGTGGTTTTGAATTAGGAACGACGTAACGAATTAGAAGTTTATTCTCCGCCAAACGAAACGCAACAAAGTTATAGAATACTCTACCTTCCACTTCTAAACACAATTCTACGCGTTTCCTCAGATTCTGAATAGCTCGCGAGATGTCCCGTCTTCTTATCTTAGTCCTGAAAGTAGTGATGATGGTTCTTCTCAGATCATCAATATCGATCGTTACAGTTTTGGTAATCAAAACATTCATAGTTTTCAGAGAATAATGATTCGGCAACCCTTCTTGCGTTATGTGGATAAGCTTAAGAATGGGCTTACATCACAAAAAAATGTTATTTCATAATTCGATAGAACTCACTCAAACCAGCTCACCACCGCAAACCGTTTCTTGCTGTGAGCTCCCTACGTTTTATAAAAAATTATTGAAATCCCCGATTTTTCGAACCTCTGAAAAAGAGGCGATGATGTGACGTCAAAACCCTAATACTGAAACAAGATCATTCCAGACAGAGATGAATGATACATGATTTCTGACAGAGTGAATTAGCGCGAGAACACAGTTGAAAGAATTAATATATCAGTTGCCTCAGTCTCCGTCGGGCGTTTGGTATTTTCTTTTAACAATGGCGAGATGAGGTTTCTACGTCATAAGAGGGTCCGTTTTCAGAAGGTACTTTCATTTATGTCCAAAAATAAAACATTCCAGTTAATTTGTTGATCGAATTATGTCGTCAATCATTATTTATGTATAAAAGGGCCATTATAAATATGGTTTGAGTTAAAAGTTCTACTAAGGTGTACACGCCCATTCAACAGTTCTGTTCGCATATTCAAAAGCACTCTTCGCAAAAATGGTTTCTTCCCAATTTTGATCAACAAGAAAGATTCGATCATTACACGATATGATACATCATTGTAATAAAAAAAAAGACTTTTCAAAAATGCAAGAATCCAATAAGGCGCCAATTATAAGTCTTAACTTTTGAGATACAGGGCGTTAAAGTTTTGAAAAAAAATCAGTTTTTTAATAATGAATGAGATAATATTGTAGACATCTTTACCAAATTTGGTATATTTCTTGAATGCATCAAGGTGCATTTTCTGATGTACACAAATTTTCATTTTCTCTACCAGTGGCGCCGTTTGGGGGATATTATTGTTTATATATTACTTAAAAGTGAGCAACGAAGGAAAATTTCCAAATTTCATACAATCCTATGAAAGGCCATCCAATTCTGTACAAAAATATCCTCCTGTTGATACTCGATAGAACGCTCTGTTTTCGAGAAAAAACGGAAAAACGAGACCAGACTTCAAATTTTGATGTAAATGCTAAGCTGACTACTCCATTCAGGACATCAATTACTAGATAACCACAGTATGTAACATTTTGAAATTTTTGCACCGTTTCAGTCACATAACAGACTGCATTTTTTCATCACAAAAAGCTATACAGGGTACACAATAATATATGCATATTTTCAACTTTGACACCCTGTATCTCAAAAGTTAGGACGTTCACGACATACGTTCATATGTAGTTTTATTCTTGAAATGGTTCCAAGAATCTCCCCCTTGAATATGAGCATGTCATTTAGGAACACCCTGTATATCAATTTTTTTTGTGTTCATAAATATATCTGAGAATATTCCTTTTCAAAGAAAATATTCTTCTGCTTCAATACTTTCAAAGTTTCTCCCATCCCTCTGATTCAGAATACACGAAAATACCGACACCCTTCTCCAATTTCCAGACCCAACGTCATGACCACCATCGAGAACGTATCGATGGCCGCCCTCGCGGTGGCTGCCCTCTCCGGAGGGGCGGCCAGCCCTGTAGGCGCGCCCACCCCCCACCACCTGCCCTTCTATGGCCCCGGCGTTCTGGCGCCCAACTGGTACCTCGCCAGCGTTGCCAGGTCGTTCCAGAACGCGTCGGCGGCGGCCAATGACGTCGACAAGGGCGGCGGGGGCGGCGGTGGGGTTGAGCAGCCGCTCGACCTCAGCAAGGGCGGCAACAGTAATGGGACGGAACTGAAAGTACCTGTGGGGAACAGCGTCAGGTTGCCGACGCTGGATACCAAACACATATTCAAGTGAGTAACCGTTAGAGAATGGTCAACGCTTTCAGTATAGATCATAGAAATATGAAAAGAGGGTAGACATAACACAACATTCATAAAACACTATTTGTTTACAATCATACATACTATTACTACTAGAGTTTCGGACGAGTGAGAAAGAGATGGCTTCAAAAAATGGCAACGCTTTAAACTGTGCGTCGATGTTCACACTTTTCTATACCAGTCGCGTAGGTTGAGCGAGGACAAGACAATTTTACTACTCTCAATAAGTTTTTATGACAACTCACATCAGACAAAGAAAAATAAAACATGTAATACAACTGAGCTATTGAGCTGCACTGAGAATCTTGGTTAATCTCAGTAAAAGTTGGTAAAAAAAATATTACTAATGTCAACGCTATTATACCTATTAAAACATGTTTGGGTCTGATCTTCTAACTCAAATATCACATCATAGCAATATTCATTTTACCTTGTTACATTCTCACTACTGAGATCAATTGAGTTAGAAGAAGGTGAGACGGATCTGAGTTGTTGATTGAATAAAAATAACACGTTTTCATCTGTCAGCCTTAGAGTTGTATTAATATGTCTTTATTGGATTTTATCACCTATTTCAAGGAATTTTCGAAACAACTTAATAATTTTTTTCAAAGGATTTAACATATGTGGACTGAAACTTCAAAGCTTAAAGCATGTCAAAATGAAAATATAACCTCACAATTTTCAGCACAGAACCACAGAATTACTAGAATTAATCCAGTCTCACCTTTTTCTCACTACAACACCAGATGAATAGCAAGCTCAGTTGGGGTGAGGGGAAGAAATAGTCTCAATGACAACTCACATCAGACTAAGATGAATGAAACATGTAATACAACTGAGCTATTGAGCTACACTGAGAATCTTGGTTTATCTCAGTCAAAGTTGGTAAAAAGAATATTACTATTAGTATAGTTCTTTTGGTACTCACCTAATTTTGATCTATCATTCAGTGGAATTTGAACAAAACAAACGTTTCTTGCGATACCTAATTAAGTTAAAAGAAACACATATCCTTACTTAGCGCCGAATAACCAATTTGGGATTTGAATGGTGAACTATTTCACAATCCAAGCACTGGCGAACTATAATAGACTTTTAATAATTGTCATTATATAGTTTTTTATTAAAAAAACACTGAAAATCAATTGAAACACAGAAAATCCTGTATTGGTAACGAACACAGCACAACAACACTTTAACGAATGCTTTTGACATAGGTAAATGATTTAGAAAAAAATAGTCGTTATTCGTCGTATAAACACGCCAATACAGCGTTGCCACACTTATTTACATAATACAATATAATTGTATGTAATGATGAAATTAGGACAATTTGAATTATTTCAATAGCAGAATTGCTATTTTTCGATGAAGGAACAAATCATACAGAATACATATACCTACATGAAAAATGTATATTATATGATTAATGTATTATAAATGCTTCCCTCACTCCCAATCACAGGAGGTAGATCTAGTGCAACACACAGTAATTTGTTCTCATCTTTTTCTGCTGAAAACGATGTTGGAGCGGGACAAAATGTAAACCGTTTCGTCTCCTCTCTTTTTTTATGTCTATGGTATAGATTGTTTCAATCATCAACTTTGTACACCAGGCTCTCTTGAATGCATTGAACGTCAGATTTCCTATATACTCTAATCTAACCCAGGCAAACCGTATCAATATCTTATTGGACCACTTGTGCTCAAACATTCGAAAAAATAAATAATAATCACCCCTTGAATAACATTGGAATTTTAATGGATGTTCAACTTCATAGAAATTTGAATTACTTTGTATATTTGTATGTATGTATACCTACTTATTAATTATCATGAGTTTTATTATTACCAGGCTACTTCTAATCGCTGATAGTTGAACTTGGCGACAGTTTGTCACATTATTGTTTTGTGGTAGATCACATTTGTCCTGAAAGTCTAAGCACTCCTGTTTTAGACTATTCAGGATTGCGTTACTCGAAAACGAGGAATATTTCAGCAATTTTGCTTTCACCAGAAACCATTTGAGAATAAACGGAGATACATTTCAAATGTTTATCGACAAGATAGAGTGGTGGCTCTGAAATGGTTAAGGTTCATACAAGTTGAAATATGAACGTTTCGTTATAAAAAGGGAATTACTAGGTATGTAAAACTGACACCGCCGTTTTATCATAATCGAAGAAGTATCCATTATTCATTAACTATTCACTAACTATTTCATCAATACTAACTCACATTATTTAATTCAAGTGGTTAGCAAAAACGTTTTGTTCCAGTTTAACCCCAAGCTAACACAACCGCTTCAGAATTTGTCACTCAAATGATGAGTTGATGATGTATCAATAATTTTAATTCGAATAAATTTAAAAGGTCAAGTGCGTACGCGATATATCTAATTGAAATTTTTGAAAATTTGTACTCGTAACTCTCAATGGTATTCTTTTAGCAACAATCGATAAAGTTCATTGTCATCAGGATCATATAACATATCTTCCTAAGATAGTATAGTTGTGATATTGAAATATTCGAAAGATTCATTATCATCGGGTCACAAAATGGCTATATGATGACTCTATATAAATTATTCCAAATTTTTTGGAATAATGAATATACTACCTCCTCGATTAACCTACAGACAGTACTCTATATAAAGCTTTTTCGTGAATTTGCTATTTGATAACTCTGATACAATCAACTCGTGCGCAGTAATCCGGTAATCGCTGTTCAAAGATGTTTTCTGAATCCATCGCTATGTGAGTGTTGATGCTCGAAACCAGAAGTTCAAGAGATTTGAAATTAGTTATTTTATATCAAATCACGTCATATTCATCAAATTGTGAATGTCCTTATATGAAGAATACATTCAGAATAATAACAAGCATATATGAAGCAGTATATTCAAATCATAAATAACTACCGCATCATATTCTATGTAGTTTGAGAAAATTTATCCATTCGTTTTGTTATTCATGCTAGTCCCTTTCATCGAACCCTGTATATGAGCATTAGTCGTCTTCTTTTCCTTCTGTTTCTACAACCTCTATTTTTATGTTTCTTCCAGTTTCAACTCTATATAACCATGCATGTTTACTTTACTGAATCTGGTACTCAACCTAATAATTTAATAATTATATCTTCATTTCTTTGTGAAATATGAAACGCATAATTCTGCCGTTGTTAAATGCACGCACGTTCATCATTTCGATGTTCCTAGAACTTGTCAATGAACTTTGCTAAGAATAATATATCTCTGGAAACAAACTGGTTCAAAATTTCAATAATGTAATCTGAAATATGAAGTCACACCAAACAGTAGAACACCAATTAGATAACACAATACAAAGGAGGGAAGCAAAAATAGAAAGAAAAATCGCCAGGAAATATGGCATGATGAGGCCATCGATATGATGAAAAAGTACAAGATAACAGATTACAGGATTCTGGACAAACATATAATTTCGAATGTGTAAATATATCCACTAATTTGGGAGAACTGATTGAGGAGAAAAAAACAGGGGTATAAAGCAAGACATGCTATAGAGTCGACAGGAGATATGGCATGGCATAGTGAGGTCAAAGATGATAAGAAAGAGTTAACAAGAAAACAAAAATTAGAATTCTGGACAATCTTGAAATTACAAAAGGGAGAAAAGATATAGGAAAAAATCGAAAACAAACTGAAGCAGAAAGACAGATGGATATATGGAAGATGATTATTCGTGAATCAAACAATTGAAATATTGGGGCAGAAAAAATCGGGTACAGAGAAATGTTGAGAGACTTGCTGATAGAATGACAACATTTGTTAGTGATGTCATAATCCGGGAAAAAAGTACCATTTTTCCCGTGGGGAAAACGTCATTCATGAAGAGTGACATTTCATAACCTGCCGAATAAGATGAAATGACAAATGACAGAAACAAAATGGTTCCCATAAACTTTGTTCTCGTTTGTTCCGTCTTACTATCTTTTTAGTAAAAATATTACCTATTGAACACACATTGTTTCACAGGATTTAATTCTGTTTTCATATATTAGGTGCATTCACATTTTTATTCAGCTTGGACACAAACATTTAAACAAATAAAAATAATCAAAATGATTCATTGATAGTTTTTGTTCTTATCCCCGTGCACAAAAATGAAACAAAGCATGCTATGAAAAGTAAGAAACATTTTTGAAAAATAACAGTGGCTTGACATATATTTTTGAAACTTCAAAGACAGCGGCCCGACATTCCTTTGATTATCTGTTTCAACTGACTTTGCATAATCTATGTACCCTTAATTCTTCCATAGTAACAATGATATATCCTGTAAAACACTTTGCATAATAGCTAGTTATTTATTACAAATCCGCTATTTTTTTTATTGAATGTTTCCGCTGCGAAGTTTTTCAGAATTCATTGGTCTTCAATTCTGAATTGAATTCCATTGAAAAAATGAGTTGTACGTCTCATGTATATGTACGCTGATTGGACTTATTCGCAGTCGTTATGAAATATCTCATGAATCAATTTGAAGAGTTTTGATATGATTTGGTGATGTCAAGATAGACAGGGCTATTTTACTCTGAAAAAATCAACGAAAACAAAAGGAACTGGAAAGAATTGCTATGTAGCCAAGCAGGTAGGCCACTATGGGACCTATTTGCTAACCCCTGCTCTCAACATATCTATACTTCCTTCACCTAGATTTCCTTTACGAATCTCCCTGACCTTCTGATGAAGGCCAGTATGCCCGTCCACTAATATAATCGACTCCTCCTGTTGGAGTTTGTCGACTCCAAAGATTTCAAATCTCAGCTCCCGTATGCCTCGCACTCGCCGAGAAAATGAAGTGACGTTTGTTCATTTTCTCCACATCTGCTGCAAGTGGGGTTGTCCTCTATTTCCATAAGTGTTAGGTGTCTGCCTAGCGTGTTATGTCCTGTGAGTACTCCTATGAGGAGGCGGAGTACTTGGC